TACTTTTCCAACTTGCCTGCAGGTTTTAAGGTTTAAAGATGTTGATTTTATTAAACTGCTTCAAGCTTCAACATTTCTTTTATTATATCTACTGAAAAGTTGGAATTTAAAGTTTGTGTTACATAAACTGAAGAGTACAGAGCAGCCTCACATCTTCTACTGTGTGATGTAAAACACAACAACCTGGGGCTCCAATAAACCCACCGGTTCAATTAAAACCATGTTTTTGTGCCATAACTCAGAAACAAACTCTCACACAGAAGCTAAGTCTGAGTGTCAGAATACTAAGTGAAGCACAAGTGGGCTGTAAAGAGACATCAGGCTGTAAATCTGTGGCCCACTTCACCTAATGCCGGGCTCAGGCTGCAGGAGTTCTTAAACCCTCACAGATTCTGACTTCAGGTTGCATCAAGAGCAGAACTTTCCCAGATATTCTTCTCTCTAATCTAAAACTGTCAAATGCTGTAAAACCGTCTGAACCTCAGAGTCCCACGGAGGGGCTGAAGGGGATCTTGTCTTTAAAGAGAAATGACTCAATTTATCACAGCGAGGAAGCGCAAAAACAGGAAGAACTGTTGGATCCTGAACTTTCTGACAGTCCTTGAATGGATCATCTACAATCGTCCTCAAATTAGTTTCCATTGAAGAAAAGGCAAAATCCACAACAGTCACGCAAATAGCTAGAAACTGAACAAAGTAATAATAAATAAGAATTTGCTGAATAAAAGATTCTGTAAAAAACAGACAGACTGAGCTGTGAGCAGCAGTGTTTCCACAGAGCAGAGAGGAGATGATGAGAGGAAAAGTTTCTTCCTTCTTCTTTTATTTACATCTTTTTGTGTCTTTGTCATTTTTGCATCTTCTCTTTCCTCATTAAAGTGTTTGGTTTGATCAAATTCTGCAAAAAAGCTGAAAATTCAGTCCTTTCTATCCACCTGTGAAACCGTTAGTGAGTCACCATTAACAGCGTCTGCAGAAGACACGTCTCAGTTCTGTCTCCGTCTTCATGGTTGTTCTGTTTCCGTCGAGGTGAAGGACTTTATGCTGCAGTGAAGAATGAGAGAAACCACATCAGAGTCTTTGGAAGCCGCTAACACTTCTCTACGTTCGACATGTTTGTGTCGCCTGCAGCTGCTTTCCGTTGCGATGCAGTTTTGACACTTCTGCTTCTGGTGAAGAGAAACAAACGCCAGCGAGGCTTAAATTGCTTCATTATCTCAGAGGTGGGAGGTAATCCCAGCGCCTGCTGTCACCGAGCTTCTCCGTCTTTCTCTCCTCCGGTGTTTTCTGATTTTGAGAGCACACTTGAACATTGGTGATTTCCCTCCTGGCATCATTTCTGCAGCAGAATGAAGAAACAGGTGGATTAACTCTGCTCAGACACTTTACTTTGTGCGTAGGTGGAGGACGGCTGAGGTTCAACAGCAGCCGGTTTATAAACCGCTGGTTTCAGCAGGATTATTTAGATTTTAAAGGTTTGATGTGAACATTAAGAAGACGGGTTATAGATATATCCACACAGTGCAGTGCCTTTACAAGGTAGTTA